GGACACAATGTTAAAAAAGTATGGACAGACTTTGTAAATAATAATAAGAAAAATTAAAAATAAAACATATCTGGAATCATTCTCTGTGTGAATCTGAATCCCTCGGGTTAAACAGCAACATGATTTTTCCAGCTGGGCTGTAATTAAGTTCATAGTCCTCTTTGGAGGTAGGGCTGAAGTACTGCTGACCTCGTGCTCTCTCTTCTGTTGTTTCTGCCAAAACTTTGCTTCCTTCTCAAGTTTCGAAGAAATAAGCTGACAACCTGGTTTCGTGCACTCTGGCCATGCCGGCCAACTCTAACCACTAACCCTCACTCTCTCCTGCAGCTGGTAACATCATCTATGGATCCAGACCCCTTGAGATTTTGTCTTTCCCCTTGATTTCATTTCCCCCCCTCCACACCTGCCCAGTCCTTTTTTCTTGTGCCAGCTTTAAGAAGAACAAACATTATTTCAGGCCATTCAGCTTCTGGCAGTAAAGAGTTGCATAAAGACAGATATGGGTGGAAGGGGAGCTAACTTCAGGAAACCAGTTGACGTTTCTGGTTTTGAGACTCAACTGCTCTGTTTCCTGTAGCTTCTTTCGGGTCAATGTTGATCGTCAACAAAATGCAAACCCTCCGGATTCAGGAAGACGTATATAGGTTGCATGAGGATATGTTTAAAAATATGAGTTATGTGTTACCTTGATGCCCCATCTTTTCTCCACAAAGAGAGTATATATTGGCCCTTCTCCGTTGGCCATGCCTTCGCATCAACCGCAGCCTCTGACCTAAACCACTGAGCCATCTATCTACTGCTCATTTTACAGAGTAACCCTAAGTGGGAGGCAAAGACACACAACAACAAGAAGAAAACAACTCAAGTTGGCCTGAGGTCACCCTGTGAGTGTTATGGCTGAGTATGGAATATCTCTTGGGCCACGTTGTTTGGCTTCTTGATTGAACTACGGGCCCCTTTACAACCTGAGAAAATGCTGTACATCATGCCAGTATATTAGGAAAAAGGGAGGACGCCATGCTGGCTTTCTTATGTACTATATAAAGATTCCTCCACGCATAGACCAAGCATAGATGGAAGTGGCCAAAAAGTCTTTAATACACACGATTTTGCTGCATTTTTTTTAAATTAAAAACCCTGCTCTTTGTTGTGGCATCATCAGGACCACATCAAATGGGACTGTTCCTGAGCTGTGTGTTATTGTGCATGAAAGAGTTGTGGGTGTGGAGTGGAGAGAGAGAACAAGAAAATGGGTATGTTGCTCTTTTATGTGTGGGCAGTACTGTTTTGACTGTATGAATCACTGAGTGTATATTGGTCTGTAGGTGATTCTTAAATTGGGAGGAAGACCGCAAGGGGTGAGAATTAGGAGACTGGAATTCTATCTATCTATCTATCTATCTATCTATCTATCTATCTATCTATCTATCTATCTATCTATCTATCTATCTATCTATCTATCTATCTATCTATCTATCTATCTATCTATCTATCT